GGCCCACTCCCAAGAATAAAAAGCCGTAAGTGAGAAAACTCGCCGTGCTGTCGCGACAGCGGGGAAATGGACAGAGCGTGGCCGAGTGGTGCGCTTGCTTTTGCAGCACTTGTGAAACCGCGTCTCCTGGACCCCTCCCTTAGCCCCAACTTTACTCGGAGCAGAACCGGGTCTCTACGTTCATTTCCGGCTGTCTCCAGAGACTGTATCCTCGCTCCATCCCAGACCCCGCTTTCAAGAGCCCGCCTGGATGTGGTGGGGGAGGACCTGGGCGCTCAGGGCGGGGGTGCCCCCCACGTGGCCCAGGACAGCAAGGTGGGGCGCCACCCTGGCGGCCCCGGCGAGGCCACGGCTCTACCCATAGCTCCAGCTGACCCCTGCAAGTTTTGATTATTCGGTTTACAATAGCTTCCAATTACTTTGTGATTTAGTCTTTTATTAATTATTTAGAAGGATATTTCTTATTTTCCAAAATAGGGAAATTTCTAGTTTTTATTATTCATTTCTATCTTAATTGGTCGCACTGTGGTCATAGCGATGTGGTTTGACGTGGGGTTCCTGAGCAAAGAGTCAAGAAAGAATCCTTGAGAGGTTTTTGGTGCAAAAAGGTGGCTTGGTTATAGACCCCGGGCAGGACCTTGGGCAGGAGCGGAGCTGGGATTGTTGAGGGGCAAGTGATGATCAGCTTTGGAGCTGGGGGAGGTCAAGACTAAGGAAGTTTCCAAAAGGATTTTCGTATGTTAAAGACTTAAAGGATCCTGGAGGCCTAGGTAGGGATGTCTAGCCAAGGTGGTTTTTTCCCTCTAGCAAAGCATTAACGGTAAAACCGTCGGGAATTTCTGGAGGAATGTCATACTCGGCTTGCCTCAAGTATTTGTCAATGGGCTGCAAGTTAGAAGGAAATTTAATTTTATCTCATTTATTTTGCCTTTGTTCTTCACATCAATAAAATATATATATTATATAGTTTTATATATGTGTATTTTTTACTTATTTTTATTTTTTTTAAGATTTTATTTATTTGACAGAGATCACAAGTAGGCAGAGGCAGGCAGTGACAGAGAGAGGGGGAAACAGGCTCTCCACTGGGCAGAGAGCCCGATGCGGGGCTCAAACCCAGGACCCTGGGATCATGACCTGAGCCAAAGGCAGAAGCTTTAACACACTGAGCCACCCAGGTGCCTCATTACTTATTTTTAATTTTTTAAAGTAAGCTCTACACCAGTGAGGGGCTTGAACTCACAGCCCTGAGGTCAAGAATCACATACTCTATCAACTGAGCCAGCCAGGCACCCTGGTCACAGAATATACTCTATAAGAATTAAATCCACTGAAATTTATAACTCACGGTATGATCGCATTTTGTAAATGCTTTTTGTGTATGTGGGGAAAAGCATGTATTCTGTATTGGTCATAGGCAATGAACTATATTTTCTACTCATGTTCATCTTTTATATTCTTTTTTAAAAATCTGTTATTTTTTGGGGTATGTTTGAAATATTATTGATAGATTTGTCTGTTTTGTCAATTTGTATATATTTTGAGCCTATATTAATGCATAAAGCATAGAATTCTCCTGTCTTCCTGCTGAAATGAACCTGAATTGAACACTTATGAAGTGTTTCCTTTACTGCCAGTATTGTTTTCATTTTAAACGACATGTGGTCTAATAGTAATATCAGCTTGCTTTGATTTAGTGTGTAGAAGAAGCATCTTTTTCTGAGTTTCATACTTTATCCTTGTTTTAATGTTTCTTTTAGGGGCACCTGGGTGGCTCATTCAGTTAAGCATCTCCCTTTAGATCAGGTCATGATCCCAGGGTCCTGGGATCCAGTCCTGCATTGGGCTCCCTGCTCAGTGGGGAGCCTGCTGCTCCCCCTGCCTGTGCTCTCTCTGACAAAATCTTTAAATATATATGTCTCTCTTAAATATACATCTCTTTAAATATACATATATATGTCTTTCTTAAACACATATTTGAGATATTTTTAACCCAGTCATATAACCTCTACAGATTAATAGGAATATTTACTCTGTTTGCATTTAATATAATTACTGGTATGCTTGGATTTAAATCTACCATTTGAATAAGGTTTCCCTTTCTGTTCTGCCTGTTTTATTTTAATTCTAGTTAGTTAACTGGTACCTGGGTGGCTCAGTCTGTTCAGTGTCTGCCTCTGGCTGAGGTCACGATCCCAGGGTCCTGGGATCAAGCCCCGAATTGGGCTTCCTGCTCAAAGGGGAGCCTGCCTCTCCCTCTGCCCCTCCCCCTGCCCACTCACATGTGGACACACATGTGCTCCCGCTCACGCACGCACGCTCTCTAATAAATAAAATCTTTTAAAAAAATTTTTAAAAATTCTAGTTAGTTAACATATATCCTCTCTTCTTTTGGAATGCTTTATTATATTTATATTCATAGATTAATATCAAATTATGCATATTTAGATTACACTGATTATAAATACTGTTATTCTTATGTTTTATTATGTCAACATTTTCCCTCTATTTTGAAACTGTACCCTTGTTTAATATTCTTTTAGTAATTAACCTAGAAATCCCAATGCCACTACTTGACTTGTGAAGACTACTATTAACTGGGACTTCTACCCCTTTTTTTTTTTTTAAGTAATCTTGGGCACCTGGGTGGCTTAGTTGTTAAGCATCTGCCTTAGGCTTGGGCCATAATCCCAGGGTCCTGGGATGGAGCCCCGCTCCCTGCTGAGCAGGGAGGCTGCTTCCTCCTCTTCCACTGCCCCAGCTTCCTCTTTCTCGGTCTCTCTGTCGAATAATATCTTTAAAAAAAAAAAAAAATCTTTTTGCCCAACATGGGGCTCAAACTCACAACCCTAAGAGATCAACAGTGGTGTGCTCTACTGACTGAGCCAGCCAAGCACTCCAGACTTTTACTTTCCCAGAAAAAAATTCAGAACTCTTTTATCACTCTAGTTATTGCCTCCCTCCTTACATGGTTTTCTTCTTCTTCCAGTTCTCTCGGACACATGCCTGAGAGTGGGATTGCTGGGTCACGGGGTAACTAGGTGAGCGCTTTGAGCTACGGAACTGTTTTTCAAAGCAGCTGCCCCATTTACGGTTCCACTTTCTCCACTTCCTTACCAACACCTGCTGTTGTCTGTTTTATTCTAGCCTTCCTAGAGGGTGGATTTGATTGGCATTTTCCCAGTGATGGTGAGCATCCTTCCCCGTGCTTACTGGCCATCTGTGTGTCTCCTTTGGAGAAAAACCTATTCAAATCCTTTGCCCCGTGTACAATTAGTTTACTTGTCTTTTTATTGTTGAGTTATAAGAATTCCTTGTGTATTTTGGATAAAAGTCCCTGACCAGAAATAGCATTTGCAAATATCCTCTCCCCTTCTGTGGCCTGTCGGTCCCCTTTCCTGATGGTCTCACCCAGGTGCTCATTTTTTGACTAACTTCATTTTTGAAGAAAAAAACACTGCAGATGGAGTCAAAGCTCCCTTTTTCTCACTTTACGACCCAGTTTCTCTCCCTCCCTCCCCAGAGATCACCACTATTCTGAACTTGATCTTTGTAATTCCCTAGTTGTTGATTTAATTGTGTAAAATGCACGTAACAGATCTTACACCATCTCCACCACCTGGAGGTGTACAAGTCAGCAGCACTGAGCACGCCCAAGCTGCTGTGTCACTGGGGCCACCCTCCATCTCCAGAATCCTTGTCACCTTGCAGAAGTGAAACTCTATCCCCATCAAACACTAACCTTCCATCTCTCTCTCTCTCTCCCTCAGCCCCCCGCACCCACCCTTCTGCTGCCTGTCTCTGTGAGTGATCGGAGGACCTCACAGGAATAGAATCACAGTATTTGTCCTTCTGTGACTGGCTCATTCCACTTCCCACAAGGCCTTCAGGGTTCATCCGTGTTGCAGCACAGGTCAGAATTTCCTTCCTTTTAAAGGCTGAACCCGACATTCCCTTGTGTGTGTATTACAGATATATCAGATTTTCCTTGTCCATTCATCTGTCAGTGGACACTTGTAATTTTGTGTCTGGCCCAGCGGACACTTCCACCTCATGGCCTTGCAGTCCCCAAGGACCTCCACCTCCTTGCCTTGAGCTGGTAGAAGGGGACCCAGAACGTGGGGGCGGAGCAGTGGGGGAATGCCCCTGACTCCTTTAGCCTTGGTCCAGGAATAAGAGACTCATTCCTCACTCACTTGGTCCCTGGCTTTGCATCTCCTCCCAATGACAACTCTGAGCTACAAACTCAGCTGTCTCAGCTGTCTCAACCCTAAGCAAACAAAGAGGAGGCAGAATGGGCAAGGATAAGGAAGCAGGCCTCTATGGCTTGATTTCAGGAGCTGGGCTTTATCTACCTGCAAAGGACCAGACAAAAATATTACAGAATGCCAGAACAAAAATCAAGCCTTCCAAAGACTCAGATAAAGCCACACATCTTCACGCAGTGACTAAAAGCAGAGAGGGGGGGAGAGAGGGAGAGAGAGAGAGAGAGAGAGAGCGAGAGCGAGCGAGCGCCCTTCCTTGGGATATGGTTAGACCAGCTCATGGACTATTAACCTGGGTCAGGAATGGAGTGTTGATGGGATGCTGACTCCGTGACACAGCGTGAAGGTTTGCACAGGTACATGCCTTTCTTCTTGAACTTTCTGAAGTTTCCAAGAAATCTCTGACCCGCCAAAAAAGTTGCAAGCCAAACTAAATCTGCTGTAAAATTCCTTCCCCACCTTGGAAGTTGCTGAGTGGGGTCTGAGAAATCCATCACAAGGGGTTTGCTCTTTGAAAAAACTGACCACGTTATCATGCCATTTTGGTTTTGCTTTTCTATTTTGTTAATTACGAAGGCAAGTTTCCCCACCCAAACCCAGAAATCAGCAGTAAGAATAGGAACAAAGGAAAAACCCCTACGTCATATCATAAAAACCTGCGAGCACAGGCAAGGTGTGTCTGGGGCAGAGGGAGCAGACAGGCCCAACCACCGAGGGTCAGGTGAAGGTATCGGGCCACGGAGGCTGCCATGCCCTCGGCCTGCTGGCCTCCTCTGGGTCTTCGCCAGCAGGAACACAGCACGCAAACTTCAGTACAAGAGCTGGTAAACTGTGGCACTGTTCTTGGAGCCCGTGACCAGATACTGGTTGTCAGCAGACACATCACAACACAGGACATCTGTCGGCTCCTCTACCTACAGGGAAGGAGGCCAGAAGATTGATTACAGGCAGGGGCCAGGCGTGGGCCAAAGATGAAGGCCTCACTTGGGGGCAGTTTCAAGGTGAAGGACAGACCTGAGGTTCAGTCTGGAGACAACGGGGCAGGTCTTGGGGCTCACGGTGGAACCCATGAGGTCACAGAACCTTGAGTCCTCATTCCCCTGGGTCTAGTAAAGGGCCCCATATACTACCCCAGGGATAGTTCCTGTCACTGTCCTCGGGACCCGACCCACTGGGATCTGGGCCTGTGAGCTCTGAGAGCCTGGGTTTGCAGAGCCCCATGAGCTCTGAGAGCCTGGGTTTGCAGAGCCCTCCTCCCGATACCTGAAACAACCTTTGTAGAGAAGGTGCAGCTATGCAGTGGATCGACTCGTCGATCGCAGTCACGAAGTAGCTCCCTGTCGAAGGAAAGGCAGGTGGAGAAGCCGAGACCAAGCTTGCATTCCGGGCCCAGGTCCCTCCCCAAGGTGACTGAGCAAAGAGAAGCTCTTCCTCTGGCCCACTGTGCCCATTTAGAAAAACCAGAGACAAGAGCCAAACCATTCCCTCATCTGGCCCTTCCCTCCAGCCCCACACGGGACAGGGCTCAGTATCACTGCACAAAAGGACAATCACATGGGGCTTCATGCCTTTTCTGCCAGCTCTTGTCTTCAGGCTGCTGTTCTGTGTAGGAAGGCACCGTTACAGGGAGAGTCGGAGAGGAGAGGGATGGGGACAGAAGACATGTAGGACGCCAGGAGATGGGGGGAGAGGCAGCAGTGGGGAAGGGGGTGCAGAGCTGACAGCAGCAGGGAACCAGACACCTGAGTCTCCACTCCGCCAGGCTTGGGGCTGGGGAGGGAAGACCAGAGCCTGAAACAAGGCTGGATCCAGACTCTGCAGAGGACCAGACATCCTGGGGGTGTCAGGGACAGGACTCCTAGAGGGGTCACCTGGCTTCCACTCACCACAGGAGGCAAACTTGAGGTTGTGGTGGTTGACGTACTTATGCAAGACTGCCTTAAACTTCTCTGGCCGGTGTGTGTGGAGAATTATAATGTCGCTTGTTCTCAGGCCTACCAGCACCCACTCTTCAGTGGGCTCGTGGGTAATGCTGAGGATCTGTTTGGAAGGAGGACCGGAGTCAGCGGTCCAAGCTGTCTACATAGTCATTCACACCCTGCCCCCCTGTGGAACTCAGGCCCCCACTCCCGGCCACGGGGACCACCCGCAGCCCACTGGGGGCTGCCAGACACCTCATGCCGTAACTCGTGCTCCTGCAACCTCTGGTAGCTCCTCAGGTCCCAGGAATAGAGTCTGGTGTCTTCACCTCCTGTCCAGAACTTATTGCCTGCGATGTCCACGCAGCGGGACCCATATTCAGGGACCTCATGCTTCCTGGCAGGAGAAGATCTCCGAGGTTCACGCACTGTCTCAGGACATTTCGGGCCCAGGAAGCCCCCACATCTAATCTCCGCACGGACTCACCGAGTCCTACTGCACAGATAGGTGAGGGAGGTCCAGAAAGGGACACGAGCCTTCCCAAAGACCTCACCGTCCAGCCCTCCCCGGGGGCATACCTGATCAAGATTTGGTTCTGCAAATCCCAAATCTCGACAAATCCTTTGAAACACGCCAAGCAGATCTGGGCATTGGAGGAGAGCGCCAGGGAATAGCACAGGGGGCCCGTGGAGGCCAGCTGGGCCCTGACGCGTGGTGTGGGCGCCAGATCCCACAGGGTCAGGCTCCGGGACAGACCCCCGGTAATGAGGCACTGCTCGTCCGGGAACAGCTTGCAGGCCAGGACACAGTTCTGGTGGTCCTGCAGGAACAGTCCCCGCCCTCACTTAACCTCCTCGAGGGCCAGGCTCCAAGTCACACGACAGAGGTCACGTCTAGGTTCCCCCAGCCCTTCCTGAACACCCCTCACCTGTAAGTCCAGCTGGGCCTGTGGGGCCTTGCTGAGGGCATGCAGGGCGCTCTCGTCCCAGACTTTAATGTAGCCGTGGCCACACGTGTACACGTGGTGAGTCGAGCTGCTGATGGCCACAGCGTAGACTTTCTTTCCGTGGCGGAGCCTGCCAACCTTCCAGCACCGCCGGGGGACCCTCTGCCTGACCACCGCTTCATTGGGAACAGGCGGCTGGGGAGAGGAGAACGCAGGTGCCCATCAGAGGGCACAGTCCTTGCCTTCCATCGCCCATGGGCGACCACCTGCCCGGTCCTCTGACTGAATTCCTGGGTGTTCACCCGAGGTTCTGAGACAGCTCTGTGCACCAGCATTGACAACAGGGTCCGGCTCAGACACCCCCCACTCCCGACACAGCTCTAGAAGAGGAGACACTGTGAGCCAAAGGCCCCACACAGTGGCAGTGAGAGCCTGGCAGCCAAGTTCAAAGGCAGCAGGGAGCTATGGGAGAATCCAGGCACACCGCATGCCCTCCCCTTTCCTTACTAGCTTCTCTTTTGGGGAGGAGTGGGGAAGGCAAAGATCCCAAGTGTAGAAAAAATAAGACACTTACAATTGTCCTGAGGAACGACCAGACTTCTTCACTGGGAGGAGGTGAGGGGCAAGGCTGGCCTGCAGGGAAATATCAAGGCCCACCGGCTCACGGAGAGGGCGGCCCACAGCAAAAGGACCGCGGGACCCAAGGAGAAGTCTGCTTCCCCGACACCAGGCTTCACGCCTCATCCCCCCAATCCGAGGCCTGGCTTGGGGCTGCCACCTTCCCTGCCCACGCGTCCGAGCTGGGACTTACCAAACTTGGGTCCTGGCAGGAAGCTATGACACGTGGATGAAGGGTAGGGGGACACAGTGTGATCTGGAGAGCTCAGTGCCAGGATCTCCTCTCCCCAGGACAGCTCCCGCTCCCGCTCCCTCCCCCAGTCTGGTTCAAGCAACACCTACCTGGGGTCCAGCTCTGCGGCTGCTTCTGGCTCTGTCTGGGGGAGACAACTGGCCTGGAGCTCAGATCTGCCCGGAGTCTGGAGGACCCACTGCTGTGGGGTCCCGGCGCTCATCTCCTGACAAACCAGGCCACGCTGTGTCAGGAAACCAGGGGTCTGCTGGGGCATTCCATACACCCCCTCTGGTTGGGACTGTGCTTGGTGCTCACACTGGGAGGAAATGCCAGAGCTTTCGAGCTCGTTCCTCATCTCCTCTGGCTCATCATAAATACGGAGTATACGAAACAACGCCTCATCCTTCTCTCTACTCATGCTCTCAGATCAGTGCAGTCCCCTAGTCTCCCGGTTCTAGGGCTGTTCCAACAGCGTCCGGGAAGCCAGTTCGTCCTGAGCTCCTGCAGCAAGAGAACAGACGCAGATACAGGCACGGGCCCTGCTGGGGGTCTGTTTGCAAGGGTCTGAGAACACGGTGTTGCCAAAAGGATGCCAAAGACTGGCTGCTGACCAGTGTTTTATCAACTACATGTTGGCAATGATGGTGTTAAGGGCGAAAGTGTCACACAGACATTTCGAGATGTTAGTAGCAGGTGTTGGTTTTTCCTTCCAGACCCACAGATGACATTTCCAGTCCTACGCAATCCAAGTCACCCTTTAGTCTAGCACCATACCTCTCCACGGAGGACTCATGCCCAGTGTGAACATGGGGCAACTCTGCTCGTGTCACAGGCTCCTTCCCTGCCTTGAGGGGGCAGCGTAGAAGAACCGAGAGGCGTGCGGCAAACATGAGGTTCCGTTTGGATGGAGCTAGGCCCCACCATGACCGAGGGGCTGGCTGGTGGGGCTATTCGTCTCTCCTACCCTACGGGGTAATTCTGAGGCATGAATGGAATCACGCAGGTAGAATACACAGACTTCTGTACGGTAGCGGCAGCCCAGTCACCAGCAGCAAGTACGTTCATCTGTGGACTGTGCCGGGGACCAGAGCTTTGAGGACATTAAGGCAGACCACATGCCTTCTCCCTCCAGGCCTCCCAACGGGGAGCCCCAGAAAGGGCCTGGGGAGCCCCAGTGTTCCACAGTGGAGCACAGCAGCTCAGGGACAAAACGAAGGGATCTTCCCCAGGGAACAAATGCCGGCCGACCAAGCTCAGTCCCTGCTCGGAGACCCCACGCTCCCCACATGCACCGGCAGTCATCCCAGAGTCACCCCAGGGACAATGTCGGGCAGCTGTATCACCACTACTCTGGACGCTACTGGACACCTCGAGCTCTCTCACTCTGCGTCTGGCCTTGAACTAAAACACTTGACACAGGTGATTCCACAGCATCCTCCCCACATTTTACATATTTTAAAAACTGAAGCTCAGGTGAACAAATAACTAGAAAACACGAGGAAAAGGTTCAAATCCACCTCCTCCTCCCTGCCCACCCTGCCCAGGTCTGGCTCTGGACGGTCTCCTTCCTGCCTCCCCACCAGAAGGAAGACAAAACAGCCGCTTCTTTAGCCCCTTGATTCTTCCCTCTAGGACAAAAAAAAAAAAAACCCAAAACAAAAAAGGTACAAAGGCCGTTGCCCTCTGACCTAACACTGAAGTCCAGGCAACAGAAGGCTCTAGCCGCAGCGCCGGCCGGGACAGCAGGTGACTGGACAAACCCCCGTCCACGGGAAAGGACTAATGACAAACCCCGCAGCCATGGGGAAGGGACCAGTGAAACGTTACAGGACCTGCATTGCCTGGAATACAAAGCCGCTGTGAAAAATAAGGACACAACCTGGAGGACCAGGAAAATTCCCAGGTGGGTCAGTGCAGGGAGGGGTGGATCCAAGGTTCCGAACAAAGTGCCTAATACGCAGCTTTGGTGTGAGAGGAGGATGGCCATTAGAACCTGTCTTTGCATATGTTTGTGTGCACCTAAGAACCTAGGAGGAGGAGTTGCCTTTGGGAATGCAAATTGCCACGCGGGCTAGAAGAGCGGGAGGAAGATGGGTCTCTGCCCAGCTTGGGATCGTTTCTGCACAGGTGTGGCTCTTTGAACCTAAATTTAAAATCGCTAGACCTGGAGTCTTTTTCTCAACCAAATCCTTCTTTCTCATCTTCCCCCAAAGGACAATTTGGAGTCCTCATGATGCCTACGTACTTATTTAAAAATTTTAACAAATTCACCCTGACATGCATCAGGCTCCTCGAAGTGGGCCAATTCTCAGAGCAACAACCCCCGCCGCCAGCCAGTGTGGTGAGGATGGGCAGGAAGGGACGAGCAAGCGGCCCTCAGGTGAAGCTTAAAGGCAGTGAGGCCATTTAGCCAGGATCTCACATATGAGGAGGATTTGACCCTAAGAGTAAGACAAGGCTTTCTAGAAAGAGCAGAGGGAAGAATCAACATCACTGAAACCCCCTCTGTTCTCGCCCTGGGAGCTGGAAATGCAGGGACCCCTCCCCTTACCGGCAAGCTTCAGTACAAAATGTTAGTTGTGGGGGAGGGGGGGTGTTGGGGGGGGATGGGTCCCTTCTGCCGGCAAGTCAGGCCCTCACCAATCCCCCCACTGGCAGGAAACTCACCCTTGAAGGTAGAAGGTCAAAGCCAGAGACGGGAAGGCCGCAGAACTGAACCCGCGCTGGGACCCTCCCTCCCACGCCCAGGTACAGCCTTCTCCCCTGCAGGGCTGCTATTTTTAAACCTTAGCTTAATTGATAATCAAGCCCTGGGTCAGAACCTGGGGCAGGTGTCTTCCGGGGCGTGGCCACCACTGGCCTCTTCCTATTAGCCCCCACCGTGGCCTTGGGAGAGGGATGGGATGGGGGTCCGCCGAGGAAAGTCAAGGGCAGGAGGCAAGATGGAGAGAGAAAGTTTTAAGGGCTAGGTCTTAGGCCCCGGCTCGGGCCGGCCCCAAGAGCCAGTGTTTGTGGAGAGACGGAGAGCTGCTTGAGCTGTCCCCAGGAGGGGGTGCAGATTCTCATCTCCAGGTGCACCCCATTAGGGTGAAGCCTGGCTTGGGCTGAGGCTACTATGGGCTACGGAGGGAGGGGATGGGGGCCACCTCTGCCGCCCGGAATGTGCCTGGCTCTGTGACCCTTTGTCTTTCACCTGTGTCTCTGAAAGGGAAGACCAGGGAGGCCTTTGGCCTCAGTGGCTGTCTTACCAGAACAGGACGGTCTCAAATTTGAGCACCTGAATCCCCTGGAGTGCAGGACCCACCCCAGAGACCCTAATTCTGTTGGTGTGGGATGGGCCAGCCCCTCTGTCTGGTGGTCCCCTTCCACAGGAGTGAGCGGGAGGTGAAGCGTGATCCCCTCCCGCTCTTCTCCCCCACGAACCCCTTACCTCTGGCCCACCCCTCCCCCTGAATACATACTCTCTTTCACTTGGATTCCTTTCTTCCTTCTTTCCAAGCAGAATTCCTGAAATGGCTGCTGCGTACAGAGAAATCTTTTACTAACCCTCATCTCTAATCTCCAAAGTTCTCTGTCTCTCCCTCCTTCCCCATCATTTATGCACCCCTGGTCTCACAACTTTTATGGTTGCCTGTGGCCTTCCCGATAATGCCTGGCATTATCCTCGGTCCGGTATTTAAGATCTGGCCCCTGCCAAGCCCAGCCTGTTCTCACTTTTCCCCTGATTGTACCTTAACCCGACCCCCAAAGAACTTGACTGTACCTTCCCACCCTCACACTTCTCGCATGCTGTGCCCTCAGCCGGGAATGTTGTTCTTTGTCCACTCACATAGCACATTTACATTCCCCTGTACTTGTAACTTGTTCAGACAAGTTACCAGAGACCAGCCTAACACCTGCCCCAAGTCCTTGGGGAGCTCGGATGTGTGAGGGAGGGACAGAGGGCTATTGATAGAATTCCCCAGCTGACCGATGATCCATTTTTGGCGAATTAGTCCCTTTTTTGATTCTTACAGGAAACACAACAGTGAGGCAGGGATTTTATCCCCAGTTTGGAAATACAATAATTAATTCGGGGGCTCGGAACCTCGTGGACAGGATCTCACTGAACAGGTGAGAAGAGCTAGGGTCCAAAGCCAGGCCTATGTGATTTTTAAAAATATGTTTTTGAGGGAGCTGTATTGAATCAGAGGGCTTCTTTCTCTGCTCTGCCTACGAATCCTTTGGCAGAATATATGCCCCAGCTGTGACTCCAGCCAGTCTGGGGCTGGCCTTTGAGCTCTCCTAATGGTGTCTGTAGATGAACAGAAGTTCTTAATTTTAATTCAGTCCAGCTTATCTAGTCTTTTAAGGTTAGCCCTTTTTTCTTTTTCTTTTTCTTTTTTTTTTTTTTTTGAGTCTTATTTAAGACATATTTCCTAAATTCGTTAAGTGTCTGCCTTCAGCTCAGGTCATGATCCCAGAGTCTTGGGATCGAGCCCTACACTGGGCTCCCGGCTCAGCAGAAAGCCTGCTTCTCCCTCTCCCACTCCCCCTGCATGTGTTCCCTCTCTCACTGTATCTCTGTCAAAGAAATAAATAATTTTTTAAAAATCTTAAAAAAAAAAAAAAAGATGCCCAACATTAGGACTCACCCGGGAAATAGAAATCAAATCCAATCCATAACAAGATTCCACTTCACACCCACTAGGATGGATAGAACAACAACACAAATTACAGCAAATAATAAATGTTGATGAGGATGTGGAGAAACTGGAATGCCTGGGCACTCTTGGTGGGAATGTAAACTGGTGCAGCCTCTGTAGAAAAAAGTTTGGTAGTCCCTCAAAAAGTTAAACACAGAACTACCACATAAACTAGCCATTCCACTCCTAGGTATATACCCGAGAGAACTGAAAACAGAAGCTAAGAACCCAAGGGCCCATCAACAGATGGATGGATAAGCAAAATGTGCTATATCCACACAATGACTTATTAGTTGCCAATAAGAAGGAAGGATGTGCAGATTAATGCTACAATGTGGGGGAACCTTGATAACATGACACTAAGTGAAAAAAGCCAGACACGAAGGCCACATATTGTCTGATTCCATTCACACGAAATACCCAGAATAGGCAAATCCATAGAGACAGAGAGCAGACTAGTGCTTATCAGGCGCTGGGGTTGGAAGACTGCTTTTTTAATAGAGAATTCCTTTCGGGTTGATGGAAAAGATCTGAAACTAGGTGGTGGTGATGGGTACGCAACACTGTGAATGTACCTAATGCTACTGAATTAGGCACTCTGAGATAGTTAAAATGGTCGGTTTTATGTCATGTGTATTTAACCACCATAAAGAAATAAAATCTGTCATTCTGTCATGAGTTAGAGGTCTTGCAAGTTCCCACAGCATTTCTTTCCTCCTTCATCTAGCAAACA